TGAAATGATGTTTCTCTGTGCTTTTATTATATTATTTACATTACAAAATATGGTGGGATTTATACTGTTTTGAAGGTTTGATGTTGAGAAACATGTTGGCCTGAAACTTTCTGAAGTATTCCTGGTTTTTCCCTTTTTCCTGAAATTCTGTATGTTTCTGGATTTTATAGGTTGTATGACAGTTCCTGACAAATAATCGTGTAGTCATAGCTATTTGATTACTGTTTCTGCTTTAAATCCAAATTAGTTGCATTTGTGGTCTGTGAGGTCATTTGCATGTTCATTTTTGAGAGCTTTTCCTATGCTGTGACAAAGAGCATAGTGATAATATGTGTGTGAGGATCATCAAAGGTGTTTGAAAGGCCCCCTTAGTCTTCAGCAGGCAATGCTGTGTTCCATTAAAAAAAAAAAAAAAAAATCCCTTTTACATGGAACTTGCACAAAAGAAAGAAGTTTATTTATGGAGAAATCATATTTGAAGACCTCTATTGTAACTTGGATCAATAAGGAAAGTACTTTCTAGCCATCACATCTGCTAGAGGAGAGGAACCTTATGAAAAGCATGATCTGATGACAGTAGTCCGTTGATAATCATTAAGTGTGGGAACTTGTACTCACTCTGAAACTTGTTGGATACATCATATTTTTATCAGTTTATCTTATGTCTTCATTTTCGTAGTTCTAGATTAAAACTTTGTCCATTTTTGCTGATGGGTTTTTCTCCTGCATTTGTTAAACCAGCTCTTGTCTCCAGTGTTTTTATCAAAACCATTTCAATTAGTACTGAATAAATCAGATGTTTAATTCACACAGACAGATCTTGAAACCATGAGTTATTTTTGCCTGCTGGAGATAGTCTGCAATTGATATTTTGCTGGAGCAGGATGTTTGTGTTTGAGGCTTCTAACTGATCATAAATTTAGAAGGTTAGAGCTAATTGCTTTTTGACTCTGGATATAAGCAAATATTGTTTGTGGATCCCCTCCCCCCCACCCCCCCGCCCTGTATGTTGATGGCTATCTAGTGATAACCACTGGCTGCTTAATGGGAGAGGTTAAGGTGGAGTCTAGGCAATGGACTTGCTGGTGCTCAGGTTCTCATTAGTTGTAATGGCAAGAAGTCAGGGTGGCCAGTGTCCCAGAGTTGCACAGATCACTTTTCTGTTCTTGGGTTGAACTTTGCAGATGATGTTGGTGAGCTGGCATTTGAGATTGCCTTCTCTGTTGGTATCTCTGGAAGTCAGCATTGCCCAATCTGAAGGTGCAGTGGTTTGCTGTGTTACAAGCATGAAGGTTCCTACAAAATGAGATAGCTAAAGATGGAAGACTGTGCTGCCATGAAAAAGAATCATAGAATCATAGAATCACTTTGGTTGGAAAAGACCTTTGAAATCATCGAGTCCAACCTTTAGCCTAACCCTGCCATCCCACCACTAAACCATGTCCCTAAGCACCTCATCTATCCTTCTTTTAAATACCTCCAGGGATGTGTACTCGACCACCTCCCTGGGCAGCCCATGCCAGAGCCCGACAACCCTTTCAGTGAAGAAGTTTTTCCTAATGTCCACCCTAAACCTGCCCTGGCGCAGCTTCAAACCATTCCCCCTTGTCCTATCATCTGTTACCAGGGAGAAGAGGCCAACCCCCACCTCACTACAGTCTCCTTTCAGGTTGTTGTAGAGGGCGATCAGGTCTCCCCTCAGCCTCCTCTTCTCCAGACTAAATAACCCCAGTTCCCTCAGCTGCTCCTCGTATGACTTGTGTTTCAGACCCCTCACCAGCTTGGTTGCTCTCCTCTGGACATGTTCCAGCAA